GGTGGCCTAGCTCCCAAGAGCCCCCTATATTGTGCCTCACCTTCAACGCCATAACAAGGCCAACCCTGGAAAGTGTTATGGTGGACAGAGGCTGCTCTACTCTGGCCTATGTTAAACAGCCCTCTAGTCTAAAAGCCCCCAATACTTAACAGAGCTGCATTCTTCAGAGGACAAGAATGTATGCAGGCTTTGGAGAGAGGCATGACATGAGGCTCTGAAAACAGATTAACCTCCCTACTACAGCGAGTTCCCTGCTCAGCCAGCAACCCCATATGAGGGCCACCCAGTCATTTATATCAGGGCCTGCATCTCAGAAAGTCTAGTCAGCAGCAACTTGAGCAAATCTCAGAGTTACTTAAGAAATGACTACTTGGGAGAGACCAAGATGGCGGCATAGGTAAACACCGCAGACTGCTGCCGCAAACAACCACTTCAAAAATACAACTAAAAGACGGAACGGACATCACCCAGAACCACAGGAAGGCTGGCTGAGGAGAGACTCTTCAACTAGAAGGAAAAATAACAGCACACCGAGGCTCAGAGGAGGCGCAGTGTGGAAAAAACTCAGGTGCGGAGGTGCGCGCGCAAAGCGGGCTGGTGGCTGAGAGCGCGGTTGTCGTTTTCGGTCAGGGGGGAGTCTCAGACTCTGAGCTCCAGATACGGGCGAATCGCTGGGGACTCGGACCCAAACGGGAGAAGCGGGAGTGTCTGGAGCCCAGCTCAATGGTTGAGCATTGACCTATGAACCAGGAGATCACAATTCAATACCCCTGTCAGGGCACATGCCTGGGGTTGCAAACTCCAGGCATAGTAGGGAGCATGCAGGAGGCAGCCAATCAATGATTCTCTCTCATCATTGATGTTTCTACCTCTCCCTCTCCCTTCCTCTCTAAAATCAATAAAAATATATTTTTTAAAAAAGAAATGACTACCTAAATGGCAGTTATAACTCCACCAATTTTTCAAGAATCTGGACCAGTCCTAAACAGTTTCTTAAATAGGCAGTCTTTCCCTTAGTGAGGTATTTTTAATGAGATTGCTTTAACCTTTTTTTTAAAAAACTCATCCTACCCTGTTTCTCCCCTTTAGTACAACTTCCACCTGACTCCTGGCCCCTTTAAAGTGCAGCCCCAGTTAGGGTGCTCATTTGGGGTTCTTGCAGGGCCACCACACCAGGCCACAAGGCACAGCCAAAAGAAGCAGGCCATCTGTCCACCAAGGCCAGGGTCAACTGCTCAGGCTTTCTTCCCTGTGCAAGTAAAATAGAAGATCAGGCCCAACACTCACTTTTTTATTCTTCTACATGACCATTTTCTGAATTGATATTCTGTTCACTTTTTTCTGCCTAGTAAGCGCTTTAAAGAGAGGAAAAAAACAGGAAATGAAACGTCTGGCTCCCCTAGCCTGTACCCCAGAGACACAATTCCCAATTCCTTATCTCTGCACCACAGCCCCCAAAGGGAAAAAGCACAGGGCCCTCTCAAGGTCCCACCTAAGCTGTCACCGCTGCAACTCTCCCCGCCCCTACTGCCTGCTGGGTCAACGCCAGGCTCCCCCAAAGCCGCAGTCACCTGCGGGTGGGGAAGAGAGGTCACTTTCCTCCTGGTGGTTCATTCCAGGTGGAAGATGCATCTTTTATATATATCAAGGTATAAACCAGCCCATCCCTGCCCCACTGAATGCTCTTTCCTAGAGAATGGGAGAAGACACTGAGGGTAAAGAATGCCGTCCCCAGAGAGGGAGCATAGAGGTGGGAGCCCTGTGCCTGGTGTGACACGCTGCCGCAGCCCCCGCCCACCCCGCGCAGGTCTCTTCTGGGCGCGGCTGCGCAGCGAGAGTAGGAGGCAGGAGGCTCGCTCACCAAGCTGCAGAGGTTGCTAATATTGGGACCTGCCGCAGCGGTAGCGGCAGGAGACCGCGGCACTGCTGTCAACCCCACAGCCTTTCTCACTACAACCGGATGAAATACTTATATAGCTCTTGTTCCCCACCCCCGTTGCGCACAGCCACCCACTCAACTCCATCCAAGCCCCGGAGAGCAACACCACAGAGAGTGCCAGGCACACCCTTCCCCCTCCGCCGGCTCTCGCTGATTATATAGCTCCCAG